TTCTTGGCTCATTCAGTGACTAAGAGATACAATGTAAAACCCTCCACCAAGAATTCAAGAAATCTGCACACACAGTGTTAGGCTTTTGTGAAATATTTCAGGTTAAAAAGCTAAAGGTAACCTTGTTTTCAACTACATGAAGTCTTATTTCTGTTTTCATCTGTATAAAATACATCTCAATATCTGGGTCTATCCAAGTGATACATTGCAAAGAATGAATGTCATCTCCTACCCTTTTGAGTTTGAGGAGAGACAACAGGGAATTTTTTGAAGTGTTGAGCTAAAGCTGTAGTTATTTTTAAGGTCAATTTAGTGCTGACCTTTGCACTGCAGTATGCTTTATGGAGCTGTGTAGAGACTTTTCCAAATTAAATGTTCACCCTAAACTTGTTTACCAGAATTAATGCATTTATTCTGATAATACAAAATACCTGGTCATCTTACAGGTATGCTTTTAATACTTATCTTTACTGTCCTTTATATTTTGTGTATTACACTATAAATCACTCTCATTTCAGCTAAAGTTCTGGTTTATACTGCAGGTCATATATCTGGTGATGTAATTTCCACTTATCATATGTCATAGTTGCACCTCAGAAGAGTTTGAAAAATGCAATGGCATTTTAAGGTAGCTGAGAGGATACCTGTTGTAATGTATGCCAGTTTTCTTACTTTGAGCGCACAAAGGACTAGAATTTCTGTTTTGTGACCAAAGTTAAGATAAATGATGAGTGCCCTTCTCTGCTATTGATGTCCATCCAACTTCCCTTTATAGAAGACTACTAAAAACTAGACTCATTTTTACCAAAGAGAAGAAAATAAAAGCTCCTAAAATGGAGAATTAGATTCCTTACTTAGAGAGGACTAGTCACAGAGCTCACAGTGTTTCTTAACACAGTGTGCCTTACAATGTATAGAACTTTTTGGTGATAAATGTTTGATTTATTTGCAGAGCTGTTACAGTATGCAGGATATTGTGTAGCTGAAATAAGGCTAACCACAGGGTTTCAGATGAATACTAGGTGACTGGTTAAAAACAAGAGGATATTTTAAGCAACTGTCTATCGTAGAATAAGGGCTATATATGTGTAATAGACAAGTTATGTGTATATATGTGTAGTATACAAGTATAATCATGATAAGTAATCTATGTTGGTTCCTCCTCTGTTTTGAGGGTGGGGTGGGATTCTTCCAGTTAATGTAGCTTATATTTATTATGACACTGTAGACTGTCTGCTAAAGTTATGCCTGTAGTGGTTTTTATGGTTGCAGGTTTTTTCATCTATAAATGACCTGTGTACTTGAAATGCAGCAACTTATAGTCTGGCTTTTTCTGGTGCCTACTGGGCTATTCTTACTCTGTTCACTGTGTATGACCACATACCATATATAAAGATTATGGTTTAGTATCCATTTTCATCTTTTTGAAACAAAACAAAACAAAAACCCCCAAACAAACCCACAAAAAAACAAACAAAAAACCCCAACCCAGAATCTTCTTTCTAGATAGACAAAGGGTGGAGGAAGAAGAGAGGAACAGATTATCATGTGTGTATTTTTGTGTGGAAGTCTGCTGAAATTTTTAAGAGATGATTAGGGAGTAGTATTGCTCCACTATGAAATTTCACTTTCATTTTGAAAGCCAGCTATTGATTTCATTTAGCATCTCCCCAGGCTACATATTCAGTAGAAATGGCTTCATGACAACTAGAAGAAGGATCTAGTACAGAAGATGTTTTTAAATCAAAACTTCTTAATAGCATTAAACATCAGCATCCCAATCTTATGAATGATAAATGGAACGTTAAATTGGACAATTCTGATTACTGAACAGAGTGCAGTGGAAAATTTGTCACAGAAAATGGTCTCATATTTCAGGTTTCATGTGTTTACTTTTTTGAAAGCAAAATGTTTCAAGTTTTGTAAATGTACAATTACTACAGAAATAGAAATAGGTAGATAAATATGGATGCAATTCTTAAGTATCCAGATAGGAGAAATTTGAGCAAAAAATTGTTATATTTAGTTCTAAACTAGGCCAGAGCATGCAGTCCTTTCCTGTTTGATTAAAAGTAAGCAAGCCTGAATAGCAGTCAGTTTGAAAAGTTGGTGTGCATAGAGGGAGATGTGAATGTGAAAACACAGGTAATGACAAACATTGTGCCTTTGTTTTAGCTAAAAATTAAAATAATTTAAAATGCTGGGCTTAGCAATGCAGGTTGCCTTTAGTTTCAATGGCATGCACGTTTCAATAAGTGAATCAACATAAAAACTGTGTTTAATCATCTCTCTCATCCTCTTTCTCAAGGGAATTTGCTATTCTCTTTCAAAAAAAAAAAAATCTGTCTCATAAGTTGATTAAAATTAACTTTTTTGGAACCTAAAAATAGCAAAGCAAATAATACTGTCTGGAATTAAATCAAGTAACCTTGATCAAACAATTAACTCATCCTCTATTAAATCAATATTTGCTGATGCTAATACTGGAGCTAGTTCCAGTAGTTGGAATTACAGCCACTGATTTAGTGTCTTTATTATTAGTAATTAGGTTGCTCTCTTTCCCCAGTACTACTTCTCAAAGCTAGTACTTGGTTGATATGTAGAAACTGGCCTAGACAATACCTAGGGTACATGCTCTACACTTTGTTAAAGCTTCTTTATAAGACTGAAGGCCCTCTCTGATGGTCTGTCCCCAAAAGGGTCAAAAAGAGTTCAGGTGTGTGTTGCCACAGTCCAGCATCTTATGTCAGCTGTTGTGGAGCCACAGTTTAAGGCTGTTTCAGCAAAACAAGATGATGATGTGAATTCTAACAAAAGCAGGGAGAGTTTCTGCTGTTGCAATATCAGTATAGTCTCTGGTGCTTTTGTGGCAGCTTCAGTTCACAAAAGGTTCTTGTCACCCTAGTACCATTCTTTCCATCCTCAGCAGCACTTCTAGTAGGGCACTTAACTGTGATGAATTAGGAATTAATTTGCTCTGATGTGTTAACGTGACCATGAAGCTCTCTATTAGACCTTTATTTATTCACTTTTCATTTGTATGATATATTCTATGTTTCTTGGATCTGATTACATTCTTTTGGCTGTTCAGTTCTCCTTAATCATATATAGGCCGATCTGATGCTTTTTCTTGTTTGGGAAAGGATTTTCTTTGGCACACTCTCAAGTTTGCAGGAGCATCTCAGTGTTTGTTTTGGTTCTGAATTAGCTGATCCAAAATTACTTCGTTATTCTCTAAATCCTGAGGACGTTTTGGTTCAGATCTAGCATTAAGTAATCCAGTGTATACCTAATAAACATACATAATATAAGGGAAGGAAGGAGTGTTCAAGTCTGATAAAGGAGGAGCGATTCACACCTAGCCTGTGGCCAGAAGATAAGCGGTCCTTTTGTTAACTATGATGACCCAGTACTTGGAACTAGTTTTCGGTGGATGGAGATACCAAAAGGCTGGGGGAACCTGAACTTTTGAACTTTTCATCTTAGTATGCTAGTGTGATGAGCTCATGCATATTAACTTCTCCGCCCTGGAGAGAGCCAAGGTTCATTTCCATGAACATGCGGCGATGTATGAACACATGCATGAAGAGGCATGTTGGTAGGCAGTTTGGGAAATGTGTACACTCTGTAGTACTCAGCCAGTGAGGAATCAGGGGAGGGAATTTGTGGTCCAGAGACAGGGATATAAACCATTGCACTATGGCTGTTTGGCACATCCCCCTGGTGAGGTGCCCGGTCTTGCAAGAACGTAATAAAAAGTGCTTCACAACACATCCTGTCTGAGCCATTGATAATTGGCAATTGAGCATTTTCTCACAATAATGATGTAGGAGATGCAACAGCAGAACTGCAGTAGCAACAAATAATAAAATTTGATAATGAGATTTTGCAATGTAAAAATTACTGCAGAGCATCAGACTAGACTACCTTAATATCCCCTTCCGATCTTCAAAATTTTTTATATTACTCTTGAATCTATGCTTGTTAGCAAAAAGCATCCTGTTCTCAACTATTAGGATTAAAAGATGGATTATTTTCCCTTTGAACGATAGGCCATAAAGAAAATTGCTATAATGTAAGTTATGGAACCATTACTTTTGTCTGTAACCCCCAAACCAGCATCAAGGTAAATGGAGAAAATACTCAAAGGAACGCAACACTGTGAGGCTACTGTGTAATTTGGGAATTTTACAAAAACTAATATGGGAAATACTACATTTCATGCCATTGATCAGGGGTAAAAAAAAAAAAAAAAAAAAAAAAAAAAAAAACCAAAAACCCACCAAAACAAAACAAAAAACCCAACATTCTGGGATCACTGCAAACCTGAAAGTGCTCCTTCTTTTTATTTACATGGGATAACTTTGAAAAAAGTTACTATTAAGAAGGATGTCTATCATTGTTCATTTACTAATGCAGGTACAGTCATGTTATTTTGTACTGAATAGGAAAGACCACATGACTATAACAGCCAGTATAGGTCATTTGCAAAATTATCAGAACCTGGATGATGTTCAGAAAGTCTGTCAAATGCTGACCTAAAAGCCAATGATAACAATGTTGTCTTTGCAGCCATCTTAATGTTGTTTATTTTGTCTACCTGTGATGTGAGGGCTTTTTTGAGACAGATAGCTTTCTTCTCTGTACTACTATCTTTATTAACAGTCATCCAGATCTACAAGGCAGCTTATCTGTTTCTGTTATATATTTGAAATTAAGTACCAATATATAGCTTTTTAAGGATAGTCTATATTAATGAGCTCACACAGAATCTTTAAAAGTATTCTTAATATAAATTATTCTCATAAGAATCATTATACGTTGTAGCTAAATTCAGCATTTACTAGATGCAGTTTTTTGCAGTGGTTAAGAGCCTTTTTTTATAAAACTGTGTATTATCTTACAGGGCTGCAGCTTTTGGGGTGGGAGAGTTGTTATTAATGGTGTGACTTTATACTGTAATGGAACTAGATTAACACAATCACTTGGTTTAATTGCAGATTGGCAAAAGAAAAAGTTATGTATGAAAAAGAAGCAAAACAACAAGAAGAAAAGATTGAAAAAATGAAAGCTGAAGCATGCGATGATTACAGAATTAAGAAGCAGGTAAACTATACTAAAACTTGTTTTATAAAATCCTTCTTTGCTTTAATTTAATCAGTCATCCTTAAATAAAATAATCTCCTTTACCTTTTTGCAGACTCCTGTTATACAAATATTAGACTAAAATCATAAAAGTCATAGTAAGCATTTGTAGAAACTTCCTTTACTCCAGAACTGTTAAATTATAAGACGACTGCATATGGATTACTTAGCACTTGGTGTCAGGATGTCTAATCACTCCCTAACAGTCTATATGAGGCCATCATGAACTCTCTCAGAAACACCAAGAACCTGAAAATACATGGTCTGGATGCATTTAGGTAAACTGAGTGCTTCCTGGTAAGTGCAAATGTTACAGTGAAGTGAGAATGCTTGATAGTTAGTATGAAGATTAAATATTTCAGCTCTTGAGTATTCTAGTATCCCTTTAGTAAAATCACAGACCTCAAAGAGAGAGAACAGTAGGTATGTGGCTGCTTCTGGCAGCTGCTAGAGCGTGTAGTGAAGGCACTGACTTCAAGGTGCATGCTGTAATTTCATCTGCTCTAGAGTATGGTTTAGTGTCACTATTACAATATGACTAAATTTTTATTGGAAGGTTTCCCACTAAGGACAGTGGTTGGAGACAGATGTCCTTTTGGAAGGAGGAGTGTTAACTTTCCTTTTCTCTGGGAGAAGGCTTGGGTTTGGGAGATTTGAGTTTCTATTTTACAAAATTGTGGCATTTCTAAATATGTTATCTTTTAACTATGTTTTTTTTTTTCCCCCCAAGAATTTCCCAGATGTTTTCTCTTAAATCTTCACAGAAACTGAAACTGTAATTTAAAATTATTTTCACGTTTCAGTAATCTGATGACATTGTGTTATAAAACCTAACCTACTGTTCTCCCATCTTAATTTTTAAAGAATGGAAAAATAAGTTAAACAAAACTCAAATATAAAATTTAACAAAAACAGGATAGGAGAAAGCCCTATTATAACAAGCTAAACCAACTTTTTAGTAAGTACATATTTCAGTTCATGTGTATGTGTCCTGCCCTGCTTTCCTTATGTCATAAGAAATACAAATAAAGAATCTGTATACAAATAAAGTATTTATAGAGCTGAGCATCTTCTGCTTCACCACGGACTGAGACTATAAGATTCTATAAAACAATAGTCTTTCTGAAGATTCGTTGGTGCTAACAAGAACTAATGAATGCAATTCCCATTTTTAGTGTCCCCCATTCATCAGATTATTTGACTGCACTGTGGTATTTCCACAGTGACCCGCAAGATATCATCAAAGTGAGAAACAGTGGAGGCTGTGAACTTCCACTGTGAAGTGAAACGTTACATACTACTTGAAGGTGTTCTCAGAGACCAGTGACAAAAGCCTTCACAGAGAACAGTCTTGATTCATTCAGAAATTGCCTGAGCCACTTTGAAAGCAACTGGTTCCTCCAATGACATCTTCACTTCTTGTTCTTTCAGTGCACTTTGCATTCTGGAAGTTATTAATATTTTAGGTTATGAAGAATTTTGAGACTCAGAAAGAATGTGCACACTTTTCATAGGATCAAATCTGTCCATCTGAAGAAAATTATATAATACCAGGAGAGTTTGCTCAGAACCGTATTTCGGATAGAGTTAATAGTTTGAGGTGTTTTTCAGGAAAATTATCTGTAGTTACACATTTTAAGGCTTGCTTTTAGTTAATAATTGCTAATCTGAATAACTATATTTATTTAAAAATACAGTTGTAGTCTTTATTTCAGTAATGAAAAGTAACATTTAGAGGATGGGAATGAATTCAGTTTGAGACTAGAATAATTTTAACTATTACTTTATCTGAGGTATCAGCTAAATCAGGTATGTATATACCAATCAATCCAGAGTTGAGGGAGGGATGCATAAAAGCATTACCTACCTCTTGATATACTACTATTCTCAATTAGCTTTCTAGTTACAACTCTACGGTAGAACATACAGTTTAGCAGTACAAAAGTGACTATGGAAGATTTTACTTCAAAATAAATAATGCCATTCCTACAGCATGTGTAAACTTCAGAGTGTGTCTGGTCTGTAAGGAGGGATCAGGCCTTCTGTAGAGTAATAGTTAGGGTTTGACTCAATATTTTTCTCCTAACTCCTTATGCAGTGGGGCAGCTTGTGGTTCCTGGGAATCTGAATGATCTCTAGGCACTCTGAGGCAGGGACCAACTGGGGTAGTTGGCAATTGTTAGATACTGTGGTTCACCTGGGCTGTCCAGAAGGACATACTTAATGAGGAGCAGGTACAGTATCAGAAACAAGGAGGACTGTTTTCTCGCAGGGCTGGGTGCTGGTATACGCTGACTCGTGAGTGCAGACTAACCATAGGAACCAGTAGTTTCCTGTATTTTTGTGGTTGATGTGTGCCATACAAATAAACATCCTTTCCTAGATAATGCTTTTATCTTGATGGTTGTGAGTGTGGGAAAAGCCTGAGATATCTGTTTCCTTTTAGTGGGATTGTAGATACACTCTGGTGTTTTTGTTAACTGTCAGCATTTTTACTGATAAGAATGCATAAAGTACATCTTGCTAATACATAGGTTTTTTACAAGTATTAGTGAAAACAGCAATATTTTTCTTGCTTTGTTGAGTGAAAGGTAGAGTATGTCCTGAAACAGATAAAAAGAAATACATTTGGAAACAATGTGTATTGTGTTTGAAATTTATTGTGGAAGATGAGAATTTGCTGCTAATCTTGTTTCTGGAGGAGTTCTCACTGAAAAGTATATTGTCATGTTCTGTAGCTCTTTCATTTTTAAATGTCTGTTTAGTCTTAAAGAAATATTCCAGTTAGTTCACTTGGCTTTTTACATTTTTAGCTCTTTCCACCTCTTACCCCATTGGTTCAAAGTTTCATTCTTCTCACCAATCAAGTACAATAAGAATAAATGAAACATACAGTTTCACTTCAGTCTGATTATTTTCATAATTTTTTTTTTCATAGGAATGGATGATCTTTACTTAATAATCTGAACTCTAGCCCTAATTGCCTGGGTAAAGAGGCAGTGGAAATGCTAATGAAGAGTCCAGTGCTCCCCCTTACGTATTTTAACATCTTTAACAAACACAGTTCGTTTCCTTAAAAGGAATTCTCTGTACTAAGTACAGAATAATATTTGTAACATACAACTGGTATTAAAAATGCTTTCAGACTTTGGGTTTATTGCCTAACGTGCTTTCTGAAAGAGACCAAATGGTGAAAAATCATTACTGTGATATTCCTTTTTTCCTTCTGTTTTCTAGAGGCTGTTTTCCTTTCTATCTAGGCAGGTGTAAGTTCCTTTTGGATTCCAGACTTTATGCTGAAGATTAAAAGCACTCATGCAGTATTTGGAATAAGTTAGTATGGCAACATTCCTATGGTAGAAAAGACTTGCCACCACGATGGGACATGATTCATTTCTTCATCAGTTGGACTCTCTTTTGCAGTGCTCTAGAGGGAGGAAAGAAAATCTGGACTTGACTTTTCTGACTTCTGTCTATGTAGGGAATTTGCCATGTCTGTTCTGCTTCCAATTTTAGCACATATATTTCCCCAGGTATTTCACCTCCACAAAACAAATGGGAGATTCCTCATAAACCTGCAAGCTTATTCTAAAACGTCTCCTAACCAGCCTGCTACATTTTAGAAAAGCATGCATTACATTAAGCATGGATTCAGGATCTGTATCTTAACAAACCACCTAAAAAAAGGAAGAGAAAAAAAATCCCAACCCTTTCAACCTCTCCCCCAAGCTTAACCTGCCCCACAAAAAGCTGGGGGAGGGAGTAGCAGACAGAAAATTTGGCTGTTCTAACAAGGTTGAGCCATTCTTGTTGGGAAAGCAAGTCTTTCTTTTGTCAGTGTTATCTCTATGGCAATTCCAAAGAAACCTCTTCATTCAGATGTTTATCACCCCTCACTTATTCACAAGGTGAGGTTTGTACTTGCATCAACATGGATCTGTTCAGGTAGAATTTTGAGTTGCTGGAAGGAAATACGTTGCCTGCTGATTAAATGACAACTTTCTGTAATGGGTAATTCCATTGTCATTCTCTTAAGTTAATTTTAAAGGAACAATATCTGTAATTTATGATACAGTGTATTTAATTAAAAACTGTTTCAGTGGAGCACATGGAGTTTTGCTTCTGTCCTCTGAAAAGCATTTCCATTTTTTACCTTTAACTCACATGGTGTCCGCCCTCCACCCTCCACTGCTGACAATGAAGAAAACCTGACAGTTGTATGTTAGTGGAAAATAGCCAGTGGCAAACTTTCTTCAGAAAAGACCAAAGGAACCTTTCTGCCTTTTATGTCCTAAAGTGATCTGCCGTAGAAGAAAGGAGATTAGCCCTCACCTGAGAGGAACTGCAGAGAAAGCTCATCTGAAATACTAAAGCATTAGATTTAATGGTTTTCTCCTTAGGCCTTCTTACAAATGGTAGGTGGCTTGTGGTTGACACGTGGCCATTTCAGTTCTTGAAATGTCCAAGCACTATAGAAACAAGATAACATTTGCCAATTCTTTACTGAAAGCTTTTCTTCATGGTCCTTTGGAAGTGTTTTGATGATTGTTTTTGACAACTCACCTATAACGGACTGCAGTATGCTCTTGTATTGTGTATTTGTAGATAGCTCAAGGTTCTTTTGGGGCTGTTATGTGAAAATAAAACAAGTTGCCTCAAAGGAAGTAGAACTAATAAACTTTCAGTTTCATACAGTTTTTGTGTGTGTTTGGGGTTTTTTCCCTTTGTATTCACCTTAATGCTGTATTTCCTCTGAGTTCCTGCATTCCCTATGCCCAGCTTTCTCCTGCATCACCTATGCTGTACCACTCCCTATGTCCCTGCGCCACCATCCTGACCAAGCACACTGTGCCTTTAAAGTCTCTGGTTACCAGTGAGGTGAGAAGTAATGCCATGCTGTGGATTTAAGTTACAAATACATTGATTAGCCAATCAGTAGTCTTAGCATGACTGCTTACTTTGCACTACATTCTCTTCTTTAGTAGTATTATTAATTTTGGAATCACTGGTGTTCATGATACTTACAGATGGCCTTTTTTCTCTTGGGTGTCTGTCTTTTCATCAGACGTGGGGTAATCAGTCAGTGGATTTTGTGTTTTACAAACTTCCCGATCAAAAGCCGTTCAAACCAGTAGTACTTTTCTTAGCAAACTGAATTACTTGCATGTCATTTTCTTTTCCTCCCTACTCTATTTGAGTAGATCCATGCTGTTATGATTATCTATGCAACAGAGAGCAAGTGATTATGAGGCAGTATTTAAAAGCATTACTATATACTCGTGTGTGTATATAACTGGTACATTTATGATTCATTCGTATTTATCATGTTTTTAGCCTATCTTGTGTTTAGCACACCACTCCTGTTGTATAAAACAGTATTGTCACTATACCGTATGACCCAGTAGTTTATTAGGATTCTAAGATCAAAGAAAGACAGAGGCCCCTGTGGAAGTTTTCTTGTTGTTTTCAAATTATTTGTGGATCTGCATATTTCTAAATCTCTTGGTTAGATGGGGGTCAGCTGGAAAACAAACAAACAAACAAACTCTCCATCTTTCTAAAGCTGATAAAACTGTTGTCCCCATTATACAATACATGTCAGGCTCAGCAAAATTGCTTCCCCTTGCAGAATACTTGATATTGACACATCTGAGGAAACTGCTTTCTTTTGACAGATGCCAGACATCTGCTCCCTTAGTAGAAATACCTTAAATCCTAAAAGACAACTGACTAGAAATGTAGCCAGTTGAAGAGATTCGTTTAACTGGCTTTTTCAGTATGCTCAAATGAAAGGGAACGTCATCCTTGCTGTGGCCACAAGAACTCTTGGTCCTATGTGCCCCTATTGACAACAAATTCAGTTTGCTTCTCCCCGTAAATATTTTTGTGCTTTATTGCTTTTGTCTTAACACTTTATTTAGATGCACTTCAGTTACTCCAGTTTTTTAACACTTATGTTTGGCACTGTAATTCACAGAAACCTTGCAGATATTTATGGTTCTTCACAAAGTTAGCTAACTTTCATGTAGTAACTTCTTCTGTGACCTGCTTATAATTTAAACTACTTAGAGTTCAGTCAGAAAGTTTGATAAAATTTTGATAGAATTAGGAGAGCAAACACTTTAAAAATTCCAGTCCTAAAGCTTATTAAATTATCTGAGCTTTTGACTTTACTTTATTATAAGCATTTGTAACAGTAAATGGTCTATTTGGGATTATCAGCATTACTTTAAGAAAATGTGATTTATGCAGAAGTTATCAAAGTTTGCATAGGTAGTTTGGTAATCAACTAATAATATTGGTTCCACAAAATTCCTGTTCCAGTCTCCAACTGTTTGCATCTACTGAATATAGTTTCAGGATTTATCATCCTTCTGTGTTTTATTTATTACTGCATAACTGCAGGCAAATATAAATAAAACTCGGGAACCCCTTTGGATCTCAGTCAAATTCTGTTTTGAACAGAGCGATTGGGGTAGTTTTGTACTTTTCTTGCAGCAGTCAGGACTACAGCTTACAGATTCTAGATTTATATGCCTTTCTGGATCACTTATTGAGTGACATATATCAAATAAATTATTATTTTTCCCATCATCTACAGCTATACAATGTACAACTGTTTAGCAGTGCTGGCCCAGTGAAGTAATTATTGGATATTCTCACTTCTGTAGGTATTCTTTATAGAACAAATTTCTACTACATAAAGCAGAAGGTGTTATCTCATGCAGTTTATGGCACACCTCATTCTATGGAAGTTACAAACCTTACAAACCTTTATTTATTCATTCACTGATGACAGTGTAATATGCAGTGTTCCTAGTCTTATTTTTAGTACAGTCCAACACTGAATGCTTAAAAGTGATAATACCAATGAGAACTAGTACTTGGGGGTATTTAACTTCTTGGTTTTTTAAAACATTTGTCAACCGTCTTTGTTTTATTCAAGTAGGCAGATTTTGTCCTAGAGTATCTGAAAGAAAATTAGAAAGAAAGTTTTTAAGCCCTTTCTCTAAAATTGACTTGAACTAATTTAAATATATGACACTTAAAAACACGGTGATAATGTCTTGCTACATAAGCTATAGCTAAGAATGTGTTTATGCATACAGGAAGTCCTTATCTTCCCTCTTACAATGACTCTTTTGGTACAGCAGTATTAACACTGAAAGGAGAATACAACATAGGAATGACAGAATTAAGCCATTTAAAGGGAGTGCCTTCTGTTGCAGATTATTCCAAATGCACAAGAGGTTTCATATTTAAATATCTAACAGATTTTAATTTCTAAATAGATTTAACATTACTGAACAACTCTGCACACCTTTTCTTCTCAGTGGTTGGATTTCAGATCCAGAAATGTTCCATGAAATAAATGTTCCCTTGTTTAAATCTGAAGTTGTTTTCTGTAGGAGGAGGCAGGATGTTCACATTCAGTGGGGTGCCAGTTTAGTAATTTTGTTCAAAGTGCATGGTGAGAATAATCTTTCTCCTAAAATGAAGCACAAGGATAAGTAATAACTTTTTATGCATGATAAGCATCAAAAATATGAGCCTGCTGGTCTTTGCTTTTCATTTTTCTTTACCTTTGTCTTTCAGTCAGAGCCTCCTGCAGTGTGCACACAATGTGATCAATAACTCAATAACTTTTTTCATGCAGTAATTATCTCTATGTGGTATTATCTGAACACTGTTCTTCTTTATTACCCAAAAGATGCAGGAGATATTTATATAACCAGCTGATCCCATTTTGGATGAAGCTGCTTCATGACAGCAGGAGAAAGTTTGTTTTAAATAGCCTTTTTAACAAATGCTGTATGGAAAGCTTACCAGGCAGTACTTTTTTTCTAAGGGAAAAATTGTTCCAAATACTCTTTTGCACTTAATATTTTATATTTAATTAAGCACAAATTAAATGGAAGTGTCCTGTAAATTAAGAGAGTTTTAAGCAATTATGCTGAGTGAATGTCTCTTATTAAAAAAGCCTGTTCAGAAGATAGGTACACCTGTTCTGAAGTTTCTAGATGATGACTGGACTACTGATTTTTCAGAGTAAAGACTTACCTGAAAAAATAATGTTCCTATGTGGAATACATTCTCATTTCATTGACTTCTAATTTTCACAGATGGAGATCTTACAAGAGTCACGAATGATGATTCCAGACTGCCAGCGCAGATTAGAAGTTGCACATGCAGATCTTACTCAACTACTAGTAAGTACAGCACCATAACCCACTGATCAAGAAATGCTGCTGTTCCTTGATGAACTTGGATAAAAATGCTTTTCTGCAATGCAATTGCAGCACATTAGAACTGGATTGAAGAATTACTTTTCATAGGTCCCAAGACTAGCATCATATAACATACCAGTATTTCATTTTAGATAACTGTCTTTGCAGACTTGTCTTCAGTCTCTGAAAACTGTGTGTGTTAGAATATTAAAGCTGTCTTTAATGGAGCGTACACTCAACATACACTTAAATACTGGACTGCTAGAATGGACTCTGGATTCCTGTGCTAGTTACATGATCAGAAAAAACAGTTCACGTGCTTTAGATAGTTTTCTAGATAGTGTAGATGTATGTAATGTGCTTGTAGCAAACTGAAATAGGCAAAATACTTTGCTTGCTACTTCTGTTATGCTATGGACAAGAAACAAGACAGCCGAGTCCTAGCTGAATATTGCTTTGTTTTATTAGTGAGGTGAGCACTACTGCCACATTTTTAAGATACGCATACCTGCAGGAATAAATAGTATCTTGTACAAATAGATTCACTGAGACTATACTAAGTTTGGAGATCATCATGCTTCTTTTAAAAAGTTGCCTTCTCATCAAGAATTCAGCTACACTTGTAAATGCTACTGTGAGGCTAAAAATACCTACCCTAAATTGAGACCCAGACATATTTGATGGCTAAAATGCAAATCCCTTCTCAAAAAAACACTCAAGGTGTCATATCCTCAGGTATGTCTCTACTGTTTTCTAAAATAAATGCTCAGTACCTGGCAGGTTGTAGGGTCGTCCTGTCATTCAACTAGTTACTTAACAGTTAGCTGGTCTAGATTTCAGTGGCATGCAGAAGTGGTGCTATTGATCCATACAGTGTGCTGAACAAACTTAAAACAAGGAATGGGGGGAATTACTATTGTTGATAAGAATTTGGACGTCTTTAAGAGTTACTTTCTGTGCTTAGCTCACCTTCAATGCTTTTATTAAGATCAACTAGATAGTAGTAGGTTTTTTCAATTGTCAATCTGCTTAAGCTTCTTCCTAATGGTACTCTTGTTCTAAGGTCTGTTCTTACTGGTTCCAGTTATGCTGTTCTTAGTTTTAAATATTTAACAGACTAAAATAAAGGTATGGACAACAGAAATTACCTCTGCTTTGAGTCATGTAGAATTAATGTTTTCAGTATATCCATTGTTTCATAGAATGGTTTGGGTTGGAAGGAACCTATAATGGTCATCTAGTTCAAACCCCCTGCCATTAGCAGGGACACCTTACACTAGATCAGGTTGCTCAGAGCCCTGTCCAACATGACCTTGAATGTTTCCAGGGATGAGGCATCTACCATGTCTCTGGGCAACTTGTTCCAGTGTTTTACCACCCTCAACACAAAAAATTTCTTCCTTATATCTAGTTTGAATCTACCCTCTTTTACTTTAAAACCACTAACCTTGTCCTGTTGCTACAGCCCCTACTAGTGTACCTCTATCTTCCTTATCAGCCCTCTTGAAGTACTGGAAGGCCACTATAAGGCCTCCCTGGAGCATTCTCTTCCTCAGCCTAAACAACCCCAACTCTCTCAGCCTGTCCTCACAGGAGAGGTGTTGCAGCCCTCATCATTTTTGTGGCAACCCCCCTCTGGACCTGCTCCAACAGGTCTATGCCTTTCCTGTGCTTGAGTACTCCAGAGCTGGATGCAGTCCTTCAGGTGGGGTCTTGCCAGAGCAGAGTAGAGGGGCAGAATCACCTCCCTCTACCTGCTGGCCATGCTTCTTGTGATGCAGCCAGGATACAGTTGGCTTTCTGGGCTGCAAGCACACATTGCCAGCTCATGCCCAATTTTTCACCCACCAGGACCCCCGAGTCCTTTTCCACAGGGCTGCTCTCCACCCCTTCATCCCCCAGTCTGTATTGATACCAGAGGTTGCCCCAACCCAGGTGCAGGACCTTGCACATGGCCTTGTTGAACCTCCTGAAGTTCATATGGGCTCAATTCTTGAGCTTGTCCAGGTCCCTCTGAATGGCATCCTGTCCCTCAGGTATGTCAACCCCATCTTTCAGGTTGACCCCACTGTCCAGGTCATTGATGAAGGCATTAAGCAGTACTGGTCCCTATAAGGACCCCTGAATGATATCACTCATCACTGATCTCCATCCAGATAGTGACCCATTAACCACTACTCTCTGATGCAACCATCCAACCAATTCCTCATGCCCTGACCAGTCCACCTATCCAATCCATCTCTCTCCAGTTTAGAGAGAAGGATGTTGTGGGGGACCGTGTCAGAGGCCTTAACAGAAGTCCAGATAGATGACATCAATAGCTTTTACCTCGTCCACTGATGTAGTCACTCCATCATAGACAGCCACTAGGTTAGTCAAGCAAGATTTGCCCTTGCTGAAGCTATCTTGTCTGTCTCAAATCACCTTCCTGTTCTCCATGTGCCTCAGAATAGCTTCTAGGAGTATCTGTTCCATGATCTTCCCAGGTACAGAGGTGAGGCTGACAGGTTGGTAGTTCCCAGGGGCCTCCTTTCTACCCTTTTTAAAAATGGGTGCAATGTTTCCCTTGTTCCAATATCTGGGAACTTCACCTGACTGTCATGACTTTTCAGATGTCATGGAAAGTGTCTTTGCAACAACATCAGCCAATTCCCTCAGGACTCTGGGATGCATCTTGTCAGGTCTCAGAGACTTATGCACATTCAGGTTCCACCAGTGATCACAAACATGATCTTCTCTGACAGTGGGAAGGACTTTGCTCCCCAAGTCCCTGGCTTGAGGTCCATCCACTCAAGGGCTGTGGGAAGCAAGGTTGCCAGTGAAGACTGATGCAAAAAAGTTGTTGAGTACCTCAGCCTTCTCCTTTCATTGTTGCCACTTTAAATTTAATCCCATGTCAATTATTTTTGAAGTACTCAAAAAAGTATTTTTTATTCCAGGAAAATGAAAAAGAATTGGAAGAAGCTGAAGAGTATAAAGAAGCACGTTCCATACTGGAGTCAGTGAAGCTTGAAGCCTAGAAGTTTTTCAGTAATCTCTTTATATGCATTAGCACTGGGTCCATTTCACACTTTTATTTGACTATGGCTCTATTACTATTGTTGACTTGCTAAGGTTCCCTTTATGCAAACTAGCCTTTCTCTAACTGCAAGGTGTATCAAATAAAGGATATTCTGAAACATCTGTGTGTTCCATATTCAGGCAGAATAAAACATTTACAGTTCACCTCAATTACAAAAAGGAAAAATAAACCAAATTTAATAGTCAATACAAGCGTAATACAAACTTGATCTGAACAATTCAACTAAACTTTGTTTCTTAGCCTATTTAAAGAATGTGAGGGACCAGTAAATATTATAGAATGAAATAGAATCATAGAATGGTTTGGGTTGGAAGGGACCCTAAAGATTCATCTTGTTCTAAACCCCCTGCAATGGGTTTAAGAAGCACCTTATAGTTGAAATAATTTCAGGCTGTTATAGCATAACAATATTTGCTGAAAGAGGGAATGAACTAAATGATCCTTCAAAGTCACCCATCTTTTTCCTGTGATGCAATGTATCTGTAATTTTATCAAGTGTGTACTTCTGGTTTATCTTTGAGCCCAAAATAGAATTAAGAGCTGGTTCCAAATCTTTCTCAGTTTGCCTGGGGTTGATTCAGAGAGACCAATTCACACCATTACCATTGATCAAAGTTCTGTTACTTTTTCAAGAAACAGAATTTAGCAGCTGACTAGTATGTTGTCAGTTGGATCTGCTGGTAAGAGTTCTGGACTGAAGGCTTCTTCTGAAAGCACTTTGGCCTAAGTGAGTTTTTTAACAAAGCACAAACCCCACAGATTAAAGAGAACTAATGGGTAATAGAAGAATGCTTAATCTACCTGGAAGACCATTGAAACATTATGTACAAAAGCTGTGCTTCTCCTAAGCAGCAAACAATAAACTCTGCTGAGGAACAGTAAAGCTTTCTACATGAAAGGAAGATTTCTACATTTAAGGAATAAATTCTTTCCTGTGAGGGTGGTGAGACTCTGGCACAGGTTGCCCAGAGAAGCTGTGGCTGCCCCTTCCCTGGAAGGGTTCAAGGCCAGGCTGGACGGGGCTGGGACCAACCTGGTGTAGTGGCAGGTGTCCCTGCCCGTGGCAGGGGGGTTGGAGCTGGATGGTCTTTAAGGTCCCTTCCAACCCAAACCATTCTGTGATTCTAGTGTCACTCACAAGTGTCTTGTGCTCTGGATTGCCTCGACCAATGTGCAGGACCTTATACTTGGCCTTGCTGAACACTTCATGAAGTTTGCACAGTCCCACCTCTCAAGCCTGTCCAGGTCCCTCTGGATGGCATCCCTGCCCTCCAGTGTGTCGACCACACCACACAGCTCGGTGTCATCCACAATCTTGCTGAGGGTGCACTCAATCCCACGGCCCATGTCGCCAACAAAGATGTTAAACAGCGCTGGTCCCAACACCAACCCCTGAGGAACACCACTTGTCACCACTCTCCACTTGGAAATCGAGCCCCTGACCACAACTCTCAGTGCAACCATCCAGCCAATTCCTTATCCACCAAGTGGTCCATCCATCAAATCTGTGTCTCCAATCTGAGACAAGGCTGTCATGTGGGACAGCATCAAATGCTTTGCACAAGTCTAGGTAGATGATGTCAGTTGCTATTCCGTTATCCACCAACATGAACCACATCGCAGGCCACCAATTTTGTCAGGCACAATTTGCCCTTAGTGATGCCATGTTGGCTGTCGACAGTCATCTCTATGGTTTCATAAGAGTACCTGCACACATTCTTACTAGCATTGTGTCCTTGGCATGTAACCACCCAACAGACACTGCCCAGTTCACAGCACAAATGAACTGCTATTGAGCAGAACATCTGTCTTTACTCATTTCAGCCAGCTAAGATTATGGACCTTCACCAGGAAAGGTAGCTGGAGTGGATGAGGCAGATCACGTCTTAGCTGATCGGCTGCAGTCAGCATAACAGCAATTCTGTGCTTGCAGCAATGAAGCGGAGTGTGGTGAATAAACGCTGAGCTAAAAAGGAGGTATGGGGAGGTATTGAGTCTTCTGGGTAAAACATAATTTAAAATAAAAGTTACTCTTCTTCAGAAGAAAGAATACACATTTCTGGAAGACAAATGCACAGAAAAATTATGTGCAGTCACTGAGTGCCACAAAAAATGCAGTCAGCATGAAAGCTAAACAGAGGTGTGACCTATAGTGGCTGAAGGAAAGTAGCATTGTGATATGGCTTAAGTTGTCATTTAAGAGTTAAAAGCACACGGGACTGAGTAGCTACCATATAAACCAGACTGTAGGGAAGCGTTTCTTGGTGCAATAGTTTCTAGGGCAGAGTGGTTTCTCATGCTTGCCTAACACTTTTCTGCCCAAGCTATTTTCTATCTCCCTCCAACTGCATCATGAACCAAGATGATGCTCTTCCCCTACCCATTTCTTCTTTCCTAAGTTCTCCAAAACTGAGCATGTTCTGTTGTATAGAAAATAGCCATCCTCACTGATGGAGATCAAGGTGTGTTCATACCTTAAAGTACTTGCTCTCTTCTTGTTTCCAGATGCCTCTGGAAGTGTCTAACTTTTGAAAGCACAGAAGCATGACACCTGTAAAAACTATAACAAAAAATTGTGACAACACAGCAATAACAGGACTGGCCCCTTGAAGCAAAGTCATGCTAGCATTACTCATGCTAGCAGAACAATTAATCCAGTGACATAGTGCAGTGGACTGTTTTTTTCCAGCAGTGCTCTGAGTGACTAGATGCAGATTATTCATAAAGAAAATTATTTTTAGTGACAAAACATTATTTAGACTGGATCCAAGTTCCACAGTGAAGTAAAATGCAGGAAATTAATCATAAACTGTAGTACTGTTACTACTCTCTCAGATCCCAAACTCAAAAGGCAGTAGCACATCAAGTAATATTTTATCTACTCTTTGGAGATACACAGTCTGCATTAGCAAATACAAGAGAGCATCCCAAAAAAGAACAATCCTGTGGGCAACATTTTTGGCCTCCATCCTCTTTGAACCTTGTCACTAGCTTTACTGATGCCTTTCTAAGTCTAACTAAGATAGATGAGCTGTATTTACCTTTTCATATGATGATACATGTTAATTTATCACTCAGTCTTCATACTGCACTCTTATAATGAATGCATTTTTTACACCATGGACAGTGGTACTATGGTTTCAATTATGCCTCTCTTGCTGGCAGAATATGTTTAAGAAGTTTCTCAATTATTTGCCAGTTAACAAAGCATTTGTTTTACTGAGAGGTCATAGCAGAACAGAAGTCCACATTACACCCAACTGATGAAACAAAAGGGTGATTTGAGAAGAAAAAGACTTAAGATAACAATTTGGAAGTAAGTTATAAGTTCTGTGCCCATTGCTCTGATCATGTCTTTGCTAGCTACAACCTGCTTTTAAGTTTACCGTTACACAGTTAAGATTCTTACTCTTTCATTCAGAAGATGTGCTGCATCTGAAATACAGAATAAACTTGGTACCTTCTCCTGGAAACTAGTCTTAAGCCCTCAGTTATACTGTATAATCAAAACTGGAAGTAGTGTCAAAACTCTGCCCTCTAATTTAAACTCCTTCCTTCACTTGAAAAACTTCCACACACAGGTAATTTCTTATAACTGGCTAATTTACAGGCCAGTTGCTTTTGTTATGTTACTATAAATGTTTTAATACAAAGCATTGTCTTACCCAGCAATAATTTCACAAGAATTCTTTAAAGGTAAGTTTCTTATATTCATAAAAGTAACCATGAGTCTAAAACAATGTTCCTGACAGGCCTCCAATATAACACATCTCAAAATAAAGTTCCTTCAAACAGTCTGCATGAAAAGCAAGCCTTGCAATTTATTAGCACCATCTTATGGGCTGTTGTTTTATGGTGTTTATGTTCTGGGAGCAAGATCCAGGAAAAGAACTTAAATTTTCTTCAGAAAACCACAGACTATAGTTGAATACTTAAGAAGAGGATCAAAGAAACCTCCATGCTTCAGCACGAACTGCAGGAAGCACACTATTAAGCCACAAATAATTTCCTCACCCCTATTTTTCCAGCCTTAATTGCAGTAACTAAGTTGCATCTCTCTGTCTGGGATTTGTAACCCTGAACCTCTGCTTAGAGTCCAATGTCTGTATCAGTTATTTCTTCCACAGCGCAAGCAGAGGAAACAGCTGCCACTACATACTTTTACCCTTTTATTTATTAGCTAAACAGGTACCACTTACTTGAAATATGGAAATCTGTTCTTATAATTGGCCACATTATAGACCAACCAACAACACAAATAAGACAACTGAAATTTTATATCAAAAATAAAAAAAAATTGAATGACTGAAGTATGGGGAGCTGGGGAAAGCACAATCTGGTCCAAAAGCAATTGCACAAGGAGCATCACTGTGTACAGGTCATTTATGGCCATAGCTTACTAGCATAAGAGTCAGAATAATGTGTTTTCTTTCAAATCAAAATATTGCTCATTGAGTTCAGTTAGCTGAATTCGCTAAGATCACACAGCATAGGTTAAGAGGAGATTTATCCACTGAAACACAGTTTCACAAGGGACAGAGTGTATATCAAGTCCTAGACTTAACATCCAACAGAGTAAGCCTATCCTGTAGGCACATAATTAGCTACAAAAAAGGACTACATGTTACATCTTCAGGCTCCAACATTGTTTAAGGGGAGGGAAGAACTACCTGTACGTAGACATTTGGGGTTAAATCTCCAAAAACGGTCAAGGTGGTGTAGCACATCACTTTTAGAAGCCCTGCTAAACACCTCAAGGTAGGAAAACGGAACTGATTGCAGAGTGCAGAGCCGATTAGCGCAGTGCCACTGAATCCAAGGGCAAGCATTTAATAAATGCCTAATGCTTATGGACCTGCAGAATATAACGGACCCTGTGCTACAAACATGTAATACTTGTGACATGTTCTGTCACATTTTGATTTTCAGGCAAGGGAAAAGTTTGGGCTTTCAGAACAGCATTCACAAAATGCAATAAACCAAGCAGTAAGTTTCTATCCAGCAGGAAATGTAAAGATTAAGAGCCGGAAAAAAAAAGGCTTTATCTGCCATCTAGACAACCTGTTTTCAAATCTTTACTGCTTAACCTGAAGCAGA